TGTCTTAAGGGAGTAAACGGACAGGACAAACCACATTACTTATATTTCAAAAGAGATCTGTGCGTGAATGCCGCTTAATAGATGTCCTGCTGTCTATGATGTCATAGTAAAAAACAACAGTAAAGATGAAGAAAAATCATTCACAGTTCTTGAATGGAAAACGTAATCTTAAATACTGAAAGCACTCTTTGTTTGTTGTTTGTAATATGTTTCTATGCTCCTCTTTATTATTTGCTACTTCCTTGTAAGTTTTGAAGTTATATTAGTTTAAAAATCTTAAGATACAACTGTTTAAATTTTTTTTTTCAATTTGTAATTATTTAAAAATGTGGGCTTTCGTTACAAAACTAAGCGACACCAGTGTCAGATGCAATATATGCAGTAGTGTAAAAGTGAACAAAAGAGGCAACACTAGTAATATAATGAAACATTTACTAACAAAACACAGCATCTACTTCAAAGCAATGCGCTGTATTATGTCTCGCGGCTTCAGCTCCAACTGAAACTCGCGAGAGACACTCACATCAGATGCTGATTTGGTAGAGTTACACTCACGAGACTTATTCGCAATCACAAAAGTACATTATTTCCGTGTGCTTTAAAGCGTTGCCGATTAAACGTTTTATTCGTGTGCTGTTCTAACATGTGCTTATTCAGAGCAAACATGCTGCCGCTTGTCATTAAAGGGATAGTTCACCCAAAATTAAAATTCTGTCATTATTTACTCAGTCATTTTGTACCAAACGTATTAATTTTTATTTATTCTTGTGCTGAACACAAAAGATGTTTTGAAGAATGTGAGTAACCAAACAGTTGCTGGTCCCCACTGACTTTAATAGTAGGAAAAAAAGAATATGAAAGTCACTGGGGACCAGCAACTGTTTAGTTTGCCACATTCTTCAAAATAACTTTTTATGTTCAACAGAAGAAATAAACTCATTCAGGTTTAAAACAACTTGATAGTGAGTAAATGATGAGACAATTTTCATTTTTGGGTGAACTATTCCTTTAATGTTAATAAAATAAAACACAAAGAGAAAAATAACTCACTGCTCTTGACTGAAGAACTTTAATACAGTTGCTAAAGTTCAGCAGTAAT